GATCCAAGTGTTCAAGCATATAAACCAGTGGAGGACATTTCACATTGAAACCACAATACCACTCTCCCTTACCTAGTGATTAAGAACTAAACTCCAGTCTTTTAGAACTAAGGACTAAAGACTCACTCTTGGGGATTACTGGCTACAAAGGTGTATTTGCATGTTTAGTTTTTCAATCTAGGCCTCTATTGCATTTTAGTAATTTGCCAGTACTAAACCTATTTAGGGTATTCTGCGTAAATTGAAAGGTCCTGAAGTGGTCCAACATATAAAAGAGTAAACTATGACACCACACCATCATCTCCTACCTCTCATTTACAATCCTCATCATTTTAGTTCACGTTCCAAAGTACCTGATGTTGAAGCCTTCTTAGACTTTCCTAGCAAATAAGGGTGTGAGCTCTGGAATCAGGTTACATCTGCTGGGATCACAACTCTACCACCTATTCTTTGTATGAACCTGGGTAAGGTAAGGCCTCTCTGAATCTTTGTTTCCTTCTCTATAAAACATGGGAAAAAACATCATTTGGGGGCTGGAGAGATGGTCCAGCAGTTAAGAGCACTGGCTATTCTTACAGAATACCTGGGTTCAAATCCCAGAACCCACATGACAGCTAACAAATGTCCATAACTCCAGTTCCAGGGGATCCAATACCTCTTCTGTCCTCCACAGGCACTAAACATCAGACGTACACTTACATACATCCAGGCATAACACTCATACACATAAAAGTGAATAATAAAAAAGAGTATTATTTCACAAAGAATGAATGAGAAGGAAGGAGAAAGGGAGAAAAGGAGGAAATGAAGGAACAAGAAAGAAAAGAGAGGGAAATAACCAAGTACAGTACTTTCCACAGGCTTAACACTAACACTACTAGTATTTCCAACCCGCAGGTAGGCTCCTACAGTCGTTTATGTTTTGCATACTTGCATGCATTGTATTTCCTTGCATACTTCTCTTGTGCTCCTGGCTAGGTTCTGCCATCTCTGAGAGGGGAGATGCAATGCCCACGTCTCTGTTCCTGCACCCTACCATCAGGACTTGCTGCATGTTTGCTGAAATTGATTTAATCTGACTGTGAGCTTAGGCTTTTGACTTCCTTGATGGAACTTCAGTTTGCTCAGTCATAGTTCACTCTTTTATATGTTGGACCACATCAGGACCTTTCAAAGGCTATTTTTCAGTGTTTTACAATGGCATTCTTTTCTCTAGTGACTTGATACAGAGAACCTAAACATGAAGCTGATTGCCTACAGAGCTGCTCTGAAAAGGGCTGTGAAATGCAAATTGTACCAGCCCACCCCTTTAAAAGCTTCCCAGAGAATGCCTGAGGCATTTTCACCCAACTGAACATGCCCTTTTGAATTTCAGACTTCTTTTTAGAGACCAGACCCCAGACTTTCCACCCCCTCCCCAATCAAATAAAATCAACTCTAAGCACTAACCTTTAAAGACTGAAGAAATTCTTCTAAAGGGAGAAATACCCACCTCTCCCCAATCCCAGAAAATTACTCAGATAAATGATACTTTCTGGAAAGCCATGAAGAGTGGCAGGTTTGGGGGCTGTAGCTTCTGAAACTCAACCCGCTTTGAATTCTCCTCTCCACTGTGGAACAAGGGGGACAGTTGACCCCAGTTAGGTAATGGGGACCAGTAGGTCAACTAGAGTTTTATGTGTTGGTAGAAATTGATAAAGTTTTCCACAGGCGCTTGCACTCAGATGTGCATATACCCACACAGAGACAAACAGAAATACCTAGAATTAAAAATAGAAGAAATCTCTTTTAAAAAACCAAATGCCAGTGTTCAGACTGAGATGCGGAGCTTCTTTAGAACCAGAAGCAAAGACAGATAGAGGACCCCAGCTCAAGGAAACTCTGATTGGTAGGTGTATATGTCACTGTTGAATAAACAAAGTAGAGCTGCATAAGATGAAGTTATTTCATACATAAAAGCTTTCTTAAAATTAACCTCTGTTGAGAAATGACAATAGAAAATGCTTATCAAGAGTTCACTATATGCCAAATGATTTATATTCACATTTCATGCAGCCTGTGAAGTGAGCACTGCTATCTAGACAGATAAGGAAGTCAAGGCTAGGGGCCTCCTTGGTTCTTTAGGGTCTAACAGCAGGCAAAAAATTAGCATAGTTGCAAAAACTGCCTGCTTTCATCCTGTGTTTCACCTTTCACGCTATATCACTTCCCGAAAAGGTTTCCACCTCTAAACAGAAACATTAAATGAGCTCTTTGAATGAAGTAATAAACTTCTTCATTCTTTTCTGGTAGTTCTTACAAGGAAGAAATTATCTGGGGGTACAAAAATGCAGATGGGGCCTTGACGATGTAGATTCTGATTCAGTAATGTCTGCAGGAAGACCAGGTATCTGCATTCAGCCAGGAACTAGAGCGCATCAAGGCAAGTGGACCTCACTGTCTTCTTGAAAACATTGTCTCTGGGATATAATCACTGTTACAGGGGGTAGGCAGGGAACTCTAGGCCTCACTTTTATGGTGCTATCTAAAAAGTTTCCAAACAAGAGCCATGTCTTGGAGTTAGTAAGGATGGAATATGGTTGGCATAGAGGACAATCCTCAGTTCGCTCCGGTCCTCTATCAAGCCCTGCTAGGAAGATGTCACTAATCCTCGGAGCTAGTGAAGAATCGCGCTCAACACACAGGGACAAAACCAAGTTTCGGGATGCAAAAGCAAGAGGAATTTATTTATACACAGGCGCCTGCGGACGCAGAGTCCCGCTCGGGTCAGGACTTGCGTGCCGGGCTTAGCTTGGGAGGGCCTTTTATAGAGCAGAAGCAGGGTACAGAAGCAGATGCATGGTTACAAGATTATTATTAGTGCATTTCAATGGGTACAAGGTATGAGGAAACAGTATTGCCAAATTCAGAGGGGGCTATGGGTGAAACCGATTGTTATCGTTAACTTCCCAGTAGGGGCTGTTATCGCTAACTTCCCAGTAGGGGCCTCAGGGTGGTGCCAGGTGGTCCGACTGCAAACGTCCTATCTTCCACTGCTAGTTTCACAAGACCTGGGTTAGAATCTTGGCTTATCGAATGGCTGATTACAGTTCTTTTTCTAAAATGGCCTTCCTGCTGTCAGTTCGGGTCTTTCACTC